CCCCTCCCCCGGAGGATGTCGATGACCTGGGGGGGGAAAGAGACCCCCTATAGCGACCCCTATAGCGACCCCTATAGAGATCCCCTATAGAAACACCTATAGAGACCCCCTGCAGAGACCCCCTATAGGGACCCCTTATAGGGACCTCTATAGGGGCCCCCCATAGAGACCCCCCCCATAGAGACCCCCCTCCATGGGGACCCCTTCTAGAGACCCCCTTATAGGCACCCCCATAGAGATGCCCCTATAGAGACCTCTATAAAACCCCCCTATAGGTCCCCAACAGGACCCCCATAGACACCCCCAATAGATCCCACTAGAGCCACCCTACAGAACCCTCTATGAAGACCCCCTATAGGACCCCCCCATAGGAAACCCTATAGATCCCCCTAAAGAGCCCCCTACAGAACCCCCTATAGATCCTGCTCTAGCGCCCCCTAGAGCTGCTCTATATGTCTCTATATGTCTCTATACGTCTCTATACGTCCCTATAGGTCCCCATACCTGCGGTCGCGGGCCAGGGCCATGGTGGTCTTGTTGTGGGGGGGTTCAGAGCCCCCTATAGGGTTCTGTATGGATCTATGCTACGGAACCCCGCCATAGGACCCCCTGTACATCCCCATACCCCCCTATAGGTGCTCTATAGGTCCCTATAGGTCCCCATACCTGGCGGTCGCGGGCCAGGGCCATGGCGGTCTCATTGTGGGGGGGTTCAGAGCCCCCTCCCCTATAGAGCCTGCTCTAGCGCCCCCTATAGGTGCCTATACCCCCCATAGGTCCCTATACATCCCTATAGGTCCCTATAGGTCCCCATACCTGGCGGTCGCGGGCCAGCGCCATGGCGGTCTCGTTGTGGCCGTTCCGGAGGCCGCAGTCGGCTCCGCTCCGGAGCAGCAGCCGGAGCAGCGGGAGCAGCCCCCGGGCAGCGGCCGCGTGGAGAGGGGTGCAGCCGGCCGAGCACTGCGCGTTCACCCGCGCCCCGGCCTGGAATGAGCCCAAACAGACCCAAAAACGCCAGGAATGAGCCCGGAACGGCGCCTGGAGCCAGGCGGTACCAAACATGGTGGGAATGGACCCAAAAACATCGGGAATAACCCCAAAAACGGCCACATGCAGCAGGGTG